GCTCACGCCGGCTTCCAGGCGGATCTCAGCCTCCCGCTGCCTCCACGCCTCTGGTGGGGACGGGCTGTCTGGCCGCAGGGCCTCCCGCTGCAGAAAACAAAGATTGGGGACTGGAGAAGGCGAGGGCCGCGTTTCCCCCTCCTTAGGACTCACGGGACGCCCTGGCCGGCTCCCACTCGGTGCCTCTGGCCTGGGGAGCCTCAAAGGGGCTTCTGGCACTTAACGTCCAGCCGAGCCACCTCCCCCAACTGCGCTGCGCTGCCCGGACCCTCTCTCGGTCAGCCCACAAACTGAAAAGCGCACTGGAGGGAAAAGGCAGCACAGCAGAGGCCCAGGAGCATGAAGCCAGGCTGCCGGATTTGAATCGGAGCTCTGCCACTTACTAGCAGTGACCTTGGGCACGTTACTTTCTCTGTGCCTCAGTCATCTCAGTTGTAAAATGGGATAGTCATGGCAATCCGTGTCTTCTTTTGTGATCATTAAATGACTTGCTTACATAAGCTGCCTAATACAGCGTCCAGCACAGAATTTGTGCCCCCTGGGGTAGTCGCTATGACCGTAGCCAGGTTCTCAGGCAGATGCTCAACCCAAGCTCCAGGCCACAGAGCCAGACCAGACACACAAGCACGAGCATCAAGACCCGGCAACTCATCCCTGTAGATTTCAACAAAGACAGGGACCCGCATGCACGTCTGGGTTTGGATGTTGGACATTCAGGTCTCCAAGGGCAGAAGAAGATGGGGTGAGGGGGTCACAGAAAGGATGAGCTCGAGGTGAAGATGAAGAAAGGAAAAGCGTTAGGGAAGAGGCTTTAACAGGCCCCTAAAGGGCCCTGATTAGGGAAGGGGAGGAGGTCCTTGATGTGTGAGGAGACCAGGGACCACTGCATCCCAAGGACATGTCCTTGGCACAGGCACAAAAGTCTCAAGGTTTGATCAGGCTCCTTGAGCCTCCAGAGGTGTGTCACAGCACAGTCCCATGCTAGCTCTGAGGGAATTTAACCCTCCACGTCTTTTCCCCAGCCTGGTGCGCCAGGGATGCGTAGCTGGAGAGAGCTGTCTGCGGGTCCTGCAGCCTCATTCCACCTCCCTCCCAGAACCAGGGAGCCAGGGAGCTAGGCCGTGAGCATTTGCTTCTCAACAGGTTCGGCCATCTCCATGTCTCCACCTACCTTACAGGGAAATGGGCACGTAGGACTCTCCTCTACGGGGTGAGAAGGGGCAGAGTGATACCCTCTCCGTTATGGCAGAAGTGCAGAGGGGGGGGGGTCCCTGGCTCAGCCTTGCCATCCTCCCACCAACACCCCAGCCCCGAGGCAGCACGGCCCAGCTTGATGGATTGATGCACACTTAGCTGGGGGCAGGTGACAGCTTCTAAGTCTCTCCAACTCAGGTGT